CTGTGATGTCTATCAGGGAGCTATTTCAGTTGCTCCCTGAGGCATTCACATCTCAGCCCATCTGTGTCTGATCCTAAATTACTTATGACTATGAGAGATAAGGGATTTCCCCATAGATAAGGGGAGGGGGGGTAGAACATAATTTCAGTGTTTGATATTTATATTAATGGCACAGCATGCAGAAAGCATTTAATTCCTGAGAAGTAGAATTTAGGTGACATAAAAATATCAGTAAAGATTAGATATTAAGAAAAAGACACTCCATCCAGCAGCTGTTTTTTTCCCTTAAAAATTTTCCCCTTGGTAGAGGATCAGGTGACAATGAGCATGATGAACATTGAAAATGAAATTCTCTAATAGCACAATCCAGCTGCAAGCCAAATGTTACACAAAGACCCTGGCAAGACTGAAAGAAGAAAGAGTGAACATAAAAGACTTTGTATTGCTGTAGTCTCTATCCTGAAGGTGCTTCCCAACCATGACTGAAGTTGCTGATCTCACTTCTTGGAAAGGCAAAGATACTTATCCCCATTTTCAGAAGCCAGGAGACTGAGCATCTTGCCCACTGGTGACACAGTGGCATTGTCCTCACAAGAAGGTATTCTGAGTTGCATCTTATCTCCTCGTCATTAAGTGAACTGCATCTTCAGCTAGGGACAGGTTCTGCTCAACAGGTAATGGAGGAGGAGCTTGCTCTTTGGCTTACCTCCCCCAGAAATGCATCTACAGGCTTTGTCTACAGGCAGGGACAATCCTGGACAATGTTATGCTAGCACTACCACAGGCTTCATAGCATTGAATGTTTAGTTCATACATTGGCTGAACTGATTATAAATGCCACCTTTTGGAAGCATTTCTTTTCACTAATGCAGCTGTCAGAACATTCTCCATCATGTCTGTGGGATGATGTTTTGTGCTGCCATTTGTAATAGAGATTGGAGGCTCCTATAATGCAGCAGTCCTTGAAAAAAATGCTCGATACCATGCGTGTTATGTATTGGAGAAATACATTGTTTGCAAGTCATATGCTCATCTTCTTAAACAAATAGAGAGCTTCTAGTACAGTACATCTGCCTCTGATTCTGGACCATCTACAAAACTGGGACAATACGCAGTTTTTTAAATTACCACAATCTCTCCTTTTCATTGTGTAGAAGCTTCAACTGATACCGAATCCTTTCACATACGGTACGTTAATGTGAAATGATAAAAGACTATGATATACACGTGCTATTTCTGTCTATGGTAAATGAAAGGCTTTGCAAAAAGGTGAAAAAATGTATTTGGGACCCTACTTACATGGAAATTGAACTTGTACTCAGGAAAGGCCTTGGCATAAGTAGTGTTGGAGAAGGCAACTTGCTTTTCCAGATCTCAGTTCTGTCTATTTGCAAAGTAGAAATAAGATTGTTTCCTTAACTTTATGAAGAAATTTGAAATTACGGATGATAACAGAAGTTCCACGATATTATTACAGTTTCAGGCTACTTCACACCTAAAATGGCTAAAGCTGAGCTTTTTCATGTTTTTATATTTTATGTGCATTGATTTAGCAGTATGAATCCTAGACAGTCTTTAATGAGTTGAGCATTCAATGGTTTTGTCTAGTCAATTAATTTGATGGTTTAGTCTAGGTAACAACACCTAGAAGCAAAGATGAGCCTGACATTCACAGGACTACTTAGGGAAATAGCTAGTTTCTGTATTCTTTCAGGTTAACACAAAGTTACTGAAAAGCAATTGTCTCTTTAGGCAGCACACCAAGGGCTTAGTTGAGTTCTTCATCACAATTCAGAATTCCAGTGTTTCTGCACACTGGAAATTCTGTTTTTCAGCCAGCTGTAGCCCTTGCACTACTTGAGATCTAAGCTGCAGTATTTAGTAATTTTAAATCTGTGATTAGTAAGTTGGACTAATACAAGTTAATAAAAGCCTACTCTACAAAAAATAAGTGCTTAGCCTTACCTTTAATAAAGACAACATTTGATGGTTTGTGACATTAGGGAGAGTTTCTTTCTGTGGTGTGCTTAAATTTCCCTTAGGCCATTTTCAGTGAGGTAGGAATGGGCTTGATGATTGGAAAATTTAATGGCTTTTTCCATTTCCATTCCTTTTTGCCAGGCTGGTCTTTAAAGCTGCTCTTTCATGATGTGTGAATTTCTCTCCATTTGAAGAACTACCAGATACAACACAGAAAGCAGATTTTAGAAATGAGCTATTAGGCAGAGAAGAGGCACTTTTAAGATGCTTGCAAGTTGCACAGCAACCAGGGGAACATATAGTCATTTGATTTCTCAAATTACTCTGACTTTGACTCGAGGGAAAAACAGTTTTATTCTCCCTTAGAGCTTTCTATCATATGTGATAAAGAGAAAATGTGTTTACATTTTCCCCCTAAAAAAAAAAAAAAAAGAGTTGTACCTCATCTCAGAGAAACAGCAGCATCTATTACCATGTAAATTACCACAGAACACATCTGGTCACAGCTCCTGTTTGTGATCTTAAATGAGAAAATATAGCAGTGTTAGCAGCATAACCTTCCATTTCTTCTAGCTTTTAGACATAACCCTTCTGAAATCATAGATTAAAAACCAACCAACCAAACGACAACCAGTGCTTGATGTTTTTTCAGTTTCTGTAGAATTGTTTCTTTCATCACTGTCCCAGACTTGGAATTTTACAGTAATATTTTCTGATTGTTACAGGTCTTGGCTTTTTCTGGAGATCATCACCATATCAGCTATCACCCAGTTTCTGCTGCATGCATATGTAGGTTGATTCCAAATCAAATGCATTTCTGATTTTCTTTTCTCATGATCTCTAGAGCACGGTGTCACTTGTATGTTAGATGCAGCAGTCATGTTTATTATAGTAATAATACCTAAACATCCAGCTTCATAAATGCCAGATATTCTCCTTGGAGATCTTATTTTCAATATTAATTTTGGTCAGTCCATATATTTGAACTATTCAGTCCAAAAATGGTCTGATTCTGATATAAACAGCCTGTTATAGCATATAAAATATATTCACAAAATCTAAAAATACCTACAGAAATTAATTACTTTATCAGACCGAGCAACTAATTTTTCCTTTCGCTTGACCGTGGTTTAGTCATTTTGAACATGGCAGTGATAGTGCTCTGCTTGTATAGAGCAATCCAAGAACTGCACATAAAAAGTCCTCACAATATTGGGCAGTTTTGGCAGTGAATGAATATTTAAAAGATATAGGTGTGTGCTAAAGCTTTTATTAAGAAATTGTCTCTTTCACACCGAATCTGATCTCCTGGTGACTAAGACCTACAGGAAGTCCTAGGTATCTTCAGACATGATGAGAGGAGCCTTGTATCTGTCTCATAAATGCACATGTGATGGCTGATTCAGTATTAGCCTAGGCCATGTCTACGCTGAGTGCAGTAGTGTCTACATAGAGGCTTCTGCCAGGGTTGAAAAATCATACCCATTCGGGGTGATAAAACAGTAAGACTCTTGTATTCAGAAGCCAGTACCTTTGCTACCATGGCATAGTCCTTCCAAGAGCTGGTTTAAATTGTAGTGGTGAAAGAGTGCTTTGCCTGAAAAAATCTTCCCTGGGGGGGAAGAAGAGTTCGGTGGCACTACATCCCTCCCAGAGATCCCTTTTAAATATAGAAGAGCCAAGTGTAATAAACAGTACTGTCATCTTCAGGTTACTCACTACTTTGAGTCTCCTTTATAAGAGGTCTCTTCTCCTTGATAAATGCTGCTAGTACTACTGTGTCCACTGGAAGTGTGATTCTTTCTGATATAGCTGTGTCTAATCATAGATGTAGTTATATTGCTACAGGAGTATGTTTATCGATAACTGTATCCATGCGAAGACAGTTTTTCTGGTTTAATTACAGCAAAGTAAGTATAACAAGCATCCTTAGAACAATAGTTGAGATTTTCTTTTGAACTTGCAGAGCCCAGTGAGAAATCTGCATTTAGTAGATCAGAAGTATAACTTCATTAAGATGGATTAGAAATCAAATCTGTGAAGAAAACCACAATTGTCTTGAGCTTGCAGACATCTCTAGCTATGGGTCTGAAAAGTTTTGAAAACCATGGGGCTGTCCAGGTATGACCAGGAACATAAAGTCTTCTGGCATAGACCAGAAATATCATGGCTTAAGTTTGAAATTCCAAATGCTGTTAGGTATTAGAACAGCCTGAAGTAGTTGCAACCTGAGCATGTCTGGTATGGAGTCACTGAGATGCAATAAATCACCATCGTAATGCTATTTTTTGCAGAGTGAAAGTAAACTTTCAAGTGTCACTTTTGGTACTGTGATCAAAGATTTCTTTTTGCATCTGCTTAATCTCTTACATTTTACAACTGCTCTCTTCCTTAATAGTGAGGCAGATTTACAAATATGCTGTCCTGCTTCCCAACAGATGTCACCTGGCTGAACTTTACATTACTGCATGCTGTCTCATGCCTAGCCCATCCCACGCACACATATGCTGGCCTCCTTGCACAAAACCACGTGCAGCACCCCACACACTTCTGGAGACGTTCTCTCTCCCTCTCTCACACACACACTCTCAGAGCTTCACACCTTTTCCCTCTTCTCTCATCTTTTAGTCACTTCTTTAAGATGCTGACAGTGAATTGTTTGAGGCAGTTGAAACCTGAAACATTCTGAAAAGAAACATGCTGAAAGAGAAACACATGGGAAGAGAAAAAGCTTGTAGTAATTTTTGTTGTATCACTTTTGCACGAGGCTTCATATGTGGTAACTGATCTATGTAAGGATGCTTCAAATAGAAGAAACCTCACAGAAGAAACTTAAATCCTATGTAGAAAAATAAGAGCGAAACCTCCCTCCTTTCTTCCCTCTGTCTCCAAAATATGCTTTTCCACCCCATAGCCAGCCCCAAACTTAATCTGAGGGTCTCTGTGGGCTCTAACACATATTTGAGGGGGAGTGCACATAAAGTACCAGTCAGTAATAATCTTTTTTTTTTCCTCCTCAGTTTGTTGCTCAGCCAAACTGCCAGCAGCTACTAGCAACACTTTGGTATGACGGTTTTCCAGGATGGAGGCGGAAACACTGGGCAGTAAAACTCTTGACCTGTGTCACCATTGGACTGCTATTTCCTGTGCTATCCGTGGCATATCTGATTGCACCGAAGAGCAGGCTGGGACTGTTCATTAAAAAGCCATTTATAAAGTTTATCTGCCACACTGGCTCTTACCTAACCTTCCTCTTCATGCTCCTGCTGGCATCGCAGCACATTGTCAGGACTGACCTTCACATGCAGGGACCACCTCCCACCATCGTGGAGTGGATGATCCTGCCCTGGGTTCTAGGTAAATCAGAAATACAAAAATGCCTGAGCCACAGCCACCTGACTCGCACCCATGGCAACTGTGTGGAGACTCATTCCTGATCTCAGCATCATCAGCATGTAAAGAGATTTGGCAGCCAGCTTCAGTAACTGCATAAAACAGCTGGGCTCCTTCTGGAACAACAGATCCTGTTGGCCTAGGGCTCTTCTGCTGTTCATATTGCCATCTGACATGCCTTTAGACATGACCCTGAGTAAACCACACCAGACGCAGCACTCACTCTCCCTGTTTCCCCCATGCTCTGTGCAAGGAACGGGTTAGGAATTAGCTTCTGGGTCATGCTAGTAACAAATAGTGTCACTTCTCGTGCTGGCTTAGTTCTGCTGGCTGGTACATGGCAGAAGGCAGTGCCGAGAACCTGTCTCTGCTTTTGCCTTCTCACTGATCTGCTCCTGGAGCCAGTGCGCAGGTACTGGGCCTGTTTATTCCTGGGCTCCCAGACTCCCAAATAGCTTACAGGAAGGCAGCAAAGGGAAGATAAATCTCAATCTGCTTTATGCCTCTGTGCTGATAAACACTGACCAAATCAATATTGAGTGCTCTAATATAAGCAGGAGAAGGAGGGCGTGTTTATTATCAGAAGGTTAAACGTGAGGCTGTTTTTCTGGTCTGGCTTGGGCAACCACAACTGTGAAGAAAAGGAGGTGTCCGTGTTCCTGAGGGCAGAATGTATGGGTGAGGTAGTGAGATGGGATGGGAGAAAGCAGATAGAGGCACTGAGGAAGAAAAGCAGAGAAGCATAGTTGGATATATTTTTGATGAGAGAGAAGTATTTACCCTTTCAAACTGAGCTCCAACACAACAGCAAGTGAAGACCTGTGGACTCCATTAGAAGCATGATCTCTCCTCTAATTAAGCTCCTGTCTCCCTTGCCGTGCCATTAACGTGTAGCACCGCTGTGAGCTGGGGTGTTACTAGGAGGCCTGCTCACAGGGAATGGTTTCCACACCTTTATAGCTCTCCTTCAGCCTCTGTCCGTACAGCCCAGGTCAGTTCAGTGCAAAACCCCAGAGGTCAGGTACAGTGAATTGCAACTGTCTAGTAGGCATCAATGGCCTGGAAAGCCATGCTGATGCTTTCTGAGGATACCTCTCAAAAACCTCAACCTCTGGAGCTCTCCTTAGGGCTCCTCAATGCTTCTCATGGGTCCACCTCTGCTTTTCTGTGCCTGCCGGCTCCCCTCTCCTGGTAACACTGGGCCCCAGCTCCTCATTTCTGTGGTGCTTCTGGATCAGGCTGGTTCTGTGCTGAACGAACCTAGCTGTTCCCCATGCCAAACCTAAAACTGCTGATGGAAAACAAGGAAAGAAAGTAAGAGCTGCAAACATGCTCACAAATCACTTTCGATCATGACCCAGGGCACTTGGCTCCTTGCATAGCTGTACCACAACTTAGAAATGGTAACTCAAGCCTCATTATCTTATTAAACTGATTTATGGCATTGAAATTCATGCCTTGGTAGAAATTTCAGAATAAGCTGAGAAGTTTAAATGTCTTCTGAGCTTAGGTGATCTCTTCACTTTATCCTTAACTTCATGGTTAATATTGAGGGAAATTGTAGGCATTTCAGCAAAATTGATTTGCAGATGAAAGAAGGATAATCCATTTAAAAAACCCTTTCAAAATCACCTCTTACAGCTGTCTGCTCTTCTTTTTGAGTTCCTTTGTTTCGGATAAATAGGGACATTGGAGGACTGTTTATCAAATGGAGAGCTTAGAACAGTTTCACCAGATTAAAGGTTATTATTTAAGAAATATTTTCCACTATAAAAGGAGAGAGAGAACAGGCACACGCAGCATTGCTGTAACTATAGTAACCAGCAATGATAACTCAGTATAAATACAGTGTATGAGTTCAACAGGCTCCTCTCCATTGATTTTTTTTTTTTTTTATGATTTTGTGTGCATGCAAAGGTCTGGAGGCAGCTGTAATAAAATTACCTTTTTGGCCTTGACATTATGCTTGCCTGACCATTCACCTGCTGGCTGGCAGCTGAAGAGCTAAGGTTGGTATTTGAATGTTTGCAGCAGTTCATTTCAACATTATCTACTCTTCAGATTGAACTTTCAGGTCCTAAAACTTGAGTTGCAAGTAGCATTTCAGTGACCACTGCAGTATCCTGTGGTTAGGCATAGATAGCAATTTAGGTAACTATATAGGTTATGCACCTGGAGGTGTATTTTCTTGTTTGGCTTTTTTTTTCACACATGTCTCAGGTCTTCATTCAAGGATAATGTTGTAAACTGGGTAATGCAAAACACCTGGGGGCTCTAACGACATTCTCAGAAGCATGTAGGCAATGAAGGAGCCTATTTGCTTTTTAATGGGACTTAGGGTCTCAAAAATACTTAAACAGTTCTACAATAAAGGACATAGAAGTTACTTAAGATTAGAATTGTATGCCAGGTGAGTTTAGCAGTCTGGTAATTAACTTCAGAATCTGCCCCTCATCCCTCCAGCTGCAAGGAGCTATAGTGAAGGTTAACAAGTGCCAAAAATTATTACCAGAAGGAATTTCAGAGTTGAGATGATGGGCTCTGGCCGTATCCTCAGGAACAAATATTCACCTCACAAAACCCATAGCCATATTTGACATTAGGTGAGTCATTGTTGAGAGATGCGATGCCAGGCTGCAGTGCCCTTTTTCATGCTGAGTCCTCCCCTTTTTCACAAATAGTTCCTGTGGGCTTTTTGTGCAGCAAGATGCATAAATACAGTGACTGAGCATAGAGAGTCAATTCACTTCTTCTTTCTTTGGTGTGATATTTCCAGGTCAGGGAGGAAATGTACTGGCACGCAGAGGCTGGTACTAGTGTTGCATGTTCTGCAGAGCAAGTCAGGAAAAATCAGTACAGTCCACCTGAGCAATGAATTACTTCTAGTTTCTATGAGAGCAGACAATCTTTTAGAAACTGTACCAAATACAGTTGCTTAAATAGTTTATTGATGTAGAACAAATTTCATCTGAGCCAATCCACTCATACTAGTTATAATTAAGATACATTTCAAGCAGTCTCCTTGTGTGCTTATCTGGAGCCCTGGATAGGAAACTTTGGTCTTTTTCATCTCTCTCCAGACTACCTTCCCCACAGAGTTGTAAAATGTCTCATAATCAGCAGTATTATACTTTGTAGAAGACAGGAGGGATGAGACATTTTCTCCAAGCTGTTAATTTAGAATTGTCTCTTATTACATCAGATATACACAGTACTTTAATGGCGAATAATACCTCGTCATGACAATGAACTCTCTTTCTTTCTACAGGTTTTATCTGGGGAGAAATCAAGGAAATGTGGGATGGTGGATTCAATGAGTATGTACATGACTGGTGGAATCTGATGGATTTTGCAATGAACTCCCTCTATCTTGCAACTATCTCCCTTAAAATTGTGGCCTACGTCAAGGTACAGTAACTTGGGAGAGAGAATTTGTAACTTGCTTGTGAGAACTGTAGTACACAGGGTAGAAACTGCCAAAATCACAGATCAAAGAGAACAGCTGCTTTTGAAGCAGCCCAGTTTTGAAAATTCACCTGGAAAGCTTATTAATTTGTTTGGAGAATGATTGTCCTTCTCATCCTGGCTTTTGATTAAGACTGAAGTAGATTGTTTGGGCATTGGGTAGAAGTTTCCCCACTTGCTGTCTGTTTTGTAGCTACTTAGTTGCCAGAGATACGTTTTGTTTTCCATACCGACACTGGACCTCTTTCAACAATGCTAGAAATAGTGAAAACATGATTTTTAAATAAAACAGTAAAGGAGAAACAGAATAGGTTTATCTGAAAACATCTACAGCCAAGATTTATAATCTGTAGTCCTACAGATCTGTAGGTTACTAATCAGAAGTTTGTGAAAAGCCTACTAAGAAAAGCAAGCCTGGTAGTAGGAGGCTTCCATCTGATATAAAGGAGTCAACTTGCTCTCTTCAATACAGAGTTTTAAACTATAGGCAAAGAAATGACAAAAGAGCATGCTGGAGCTTTAACACCATGTAGATTCTTCACTGTCATGTTCCATTTACAGCAAGAATGCACATCAGAGCTCATCCTCAAAAGCACCTTCCACATTTATAAACTTCTGATGCTCCAAGTTAGCATATGCACATGTTTTGAAGCCAGAGGATGGCCTGAAGCACTTTCCTTCTGTCTCTCTTTTTTCAAAGACACAGACGAGACACAAATGGCCTCCTGCAAACTTCCTTATGTAGTGGCTCTCTTTGACTTCAGTTGGAGCTGCATGCTTGGCCTGATTCTTTTCTTGGTATGAATCAGCAGTAACTTCACTACAGTTAGTATAATTGTACAGGTGTAAATCAAGTAACTGGAGTCTGCTCCTTGGCCACTTGTGCACTTTCTACTGTTGGTGTGCTGCTGTGATGGTTTTGCCCTGGTAGAAGGGTACTACTTCTTTTAGCCCAGCTCCTAAAAACCAGGACAAGCACTTCCCCAAAGCAACCTTGTTTAGTCCCACCCAAGCATGTATGCAAGCAGAGAGGAAAAGAGGAGAAAATTTCACAAAGCTCATTGACTCTAAAATGGCAAGGCTTTTATAAAAACCTCTTTAGCAAGCAGCCCTGCTATGGGGCCTTTTTAAAATCCAAAAGGCTGCATAGCGGTGAGTTAGTTTTTCAAAGGGAAAAGCTTTAAGATAGTTGCTGTTCCCTGAAGAGGCAGCTCTGTAACAGCATCAAAGCAGGAACAGATTACATCTTTTTTCTCCCAACATTCAGAAGCAGTGAGGAAATCACAGACTTCAAAGGTTGGTCTTTAAACTGTGAGCAATAAAAAAAAAAAAATGCTGGAAATCATAAGATTCATGAACAAATCTTAAAATGTTAACTATCTCGTTCTTTCTCACACACAAATTACTAGAAGAGCTGTGCATCCACAGAATTATACAGTCACATGCTGAGATATAAACTCATAGCCAAACCGCACATACAAAGGAAGTATAGCTTTGTTTATATACTCTGTAAGAACTACAGAAACTTACAGGCTAACTACAAAGACCTATACGCCAGCACACAAAAGAATGCTTACAGGAATATATCTGTTTGTGTACAGATCGGACCCACTTGGATTAGACCTGGCTGATCTAAGGTCTGTTCCTGATGAGGACCAATGTCAGACAATTCTGAGAGGTGCATAAAATCTTATATAGGAGTAGTTCTGAAACAGTGTGCTCACAGAAGTTCCCTTCTGACCTATGTCACTTAGAGGTTGCAGTATGCTCTGAAACATGAGGATTTATAACATGATAATAGCTTCAAAACCTTTTGACTTGCAAAGGTTTTTGTTATTTATAGAACAGCCCCGAGCTGGAAAAGGCTGGTATCTATGCCAATATACCATATTCTAACATTTCTTAGAACTTCAAAAGATTACATGGACATTTAGCTTTCTGCCAAATATCAGAAAAATAAATTGTATACTGACACTAATGTTTTCCATCCTTGTTTTTATGTGGAGACTTTTTTTTCTTGATTTGACTGGTTCCAAGTCCTGGCCCTAATATTGTCCAATACCAATGAAATCTTCAGGCTAATTATAGGGTGAAAATACATTCTTAATCAGTTTTCATGTGCTGTATTGAATTATCATGTAATGAGGAAGGGTAAATGTGACTGCCTGGTGTAACTTATTTGTACTATTCTGTATACATCTTTGCTGTGTTTCATCTTCATCTTCTGATGCCTACGCCAAACAACTCTAGCCTGCCCAGATACTGAGCTTCATTAGATACCTCTGAAATCTTCTGTTTCTCTATGATGCTAGGCTGCTCTGAAGACACTACTATTTTCCAAGCAAGAATATACCATCAGTTTACAAAAAGCCAAAATATGACCCTAACAAGTTGATTTAAAATTAGATGTGAGATGCAGAAGACCTTTTCACATATCTTTACATGCAGTCTATGCTAAACCCTAGCAGAGAGCCCCTGGGCTGCTGTGTCCAGCCAGCATGCAGAAGAGAATGGCTAACAACTGCGCAAACCTGCTGTCTAGGCAGGGGAGGCTTTCCCATCACAACTATCCGCCCCCACTGCTGGATATTGGCAAAAAGTTAATATATCTGCCTGTTTGTAAACATTTTAAGACCCATCTTCACATCAAGTTAACAGACTCAGGCCATGATGTTCATGTAATAAAGAACAGTTTGGAAATGTCAGAAGCAATCAGAGGTCATGCTGAAATGCCTTTGTATCGTGTCTCAGCTCCTTCATACAGAGGAATAGTTTGAACTATCAACTTGTTTTTAGCTGTGTCCTTGAAAAAATTGTGTGGTCCTGTACAGGACCTTCAGATTCAGGTAGACAGTCCCTGCAAACTCATCTGTCAGTATGATATTGATACCATTTCTTTTTAAAAGGTACAAAAATTATTTCAGGAGTTCTAACACGCTGGCTATATTAGCTATGTTATTCTAAGTACATTTTTGCCTTTTTATACATGTTAAATGAGCAGAGACAAATGTTAAAAGGACAATTACTCCTTGCTGTTAAAATGTCTTCGACTCCATTCTGGCGTGCCAGTGTAGTTACATTTATACAAGAGCTCTTTTGTGTTACCTATTTGCATCTGGCTGCACTTCGCTCAGAAAATGCTTCTGCTTTTAGAGTTACATTACAAACCAAGTTAATGTTATAATTGATGCACTCAAATGTATCCAATCTTTCAGCTGTAATGATGACCTCTGCTTTAGCAACTCTTTTAAAATTGCCATGACGAATTAACTAATAAGAAAATTAATATGAAGAAACCATTTTGGTTCTGGGCTGTTGGCACTTTTTTTTGAGATTACTAGGGAAGGAAAGCATCCACTTCTTATGCTCAGTTCATTGCTTGCTTTCTTCCCTCCCTTCTCCCTCCCTTGCATTCTTCCTGGAACATGCAGTGTTTTGAATGTACAGTCATATTTAGGAGGAAAAATTTAAAAAGGTAATTGGAAATTTCCGACCTGAACTCCTTTAAATGGTAAAAGAGGAGGAGATTGTGTATGAACCCATGGACCTGAAGAACCCGCGAACAGTAAACTCAACATTCAAAAGGCCTGTTTTCTAAATTTAGGCTAAGAACAGCCAACATACCAGAAGCCTCTAAATAAAAGCTGGTCCCACAACTATCCATATCAGGGGGTCATAATCTAGTAGGGAGGGTCCATAGGAATGCATCATTAAGCCTAAGTCTGTGCCCTGATCAAGTCAGCTTCAATCCTGAATCCCGGATGTTAGTCTGACAGTAGCTGAGACTTAAGAGTTTAAAAGTACTTCTTGTGTCACCAGTACCTGGTTAGTATTTATATGTGAAGCATTAGTATTAGCAGGTGTGACTTTTTGAGTTATCTCAGAGTAATTACAAGATAATTCACTTCTATACCCTTGTTATTTCTTTCAGTATAACGGTTCTCGTCCAAGGGAGGAATGGGAAATGTGGCACCCGACTCTCATTGCAGAAGCCCTCTTTGCAATATCCAACATTTTAAGTTCCTTGCGTCTCATATCCCTGTTTACAGCAAATTCACACTTGGGACCCTTGCAGATTTCTCTGGGACGCATGCTGCTAGACATCCTTAAATTCCTTTTTATCTACTGTCTGGTGCTTCTGGCTTTTGCCAATGGACTGAACCAGCTTTATTTTTATTATGAGACCAGTGCCTCGGAGGAACCCAACAACTGCAAGGGGATCCGATGTGAGAAACAGAACAATGCCTTCTCCACGTAAGATGTCCTTTACCTTTCTGTTTTTAAAGTTGACTTCCACTGTCCCCTTTCTGCCTTTGCCTGTTGTCTGTCACTGCATTGAAAGTGCCTTTATTCATTCATTCGCAAATATCAGGTTAGCTGGTTGACTATGCAGGAAAGGTGTGAGTTAACTGGGGCAGACATTCTGCTGAGCTTTGCTGTGGGAAAGACTCTTATTTAGGTCTGGAAGCAGGAGACAATTGTTTTAGTCCTGGACCAAAGGGTCTCCCTAGATGATCCTGCAACTTAAATTTTATTATGGCTATGTATGATTTCAGTATATTTGAGAAAGCAAGTATCCTTTTGCCATAATAATAATTGTTTTGTCTGATTCCAGAGGAAAGGAGGGGAAGCTAAACAAAATGTAGAAAACAAGGGATAAATTTATGAAAAAAATGTATTAATAAATAATGTGATACAGCAACAACAACAATCTCACCTAGGCCATTTTTATTCATACATGATGTTGCAAGTTTCTCTGATTTCCTTGCAGTGGGGTGAGACCAAAATCCCAGCAAAATCTTTTTTGCTGGAAATGCTGGTACTTTACTGAGATGTTGGCATGGAGATTGCTGTGATGACAGCTGGCAGGGCTGAAAGAGATAGCACATGCTGAAAAATAACATGAATTGTCTTTCTGATGTATTTGTTTTAATTACTAATAGTTGAAATAATTATAATAATCAGCCCCCACCCAATTGTTCTTGCTGCTTGCACAGTACTTAAAACACAATGGGAAGAGAAATAAATAAAGCACAGTCTAGAAAAAGGCCTACGCCCTGCAAACAAGCAAAACAAAACTGTTGTCCACCACTTTATGCTAAATTAAATAAAACTTGTCATAATGCCCAATAATTCTCCACCCTTCCTCAGCTGAAGGCTTGAGGTTAAGAAAGGATTTGTGACATATTTGCACCGTTATCAAAAGCAGATGATGGTTGAGGCCACATGACTAGGTTGGAAGAGGAAAGGCTCCAACATTGTCCTGTGAGCTCCCTCCTTAAAAGAAGTGGGGGATTTTCATGGGATAGAGTCCAGCCTTACAAGAGCATCATGACCTGGTAGACCAGACGTGCTGCCATTTTCCACTACAGAGCAGGAACACCATAGGCTTGATTGATTAATTTTCTCATTAAACCCATCTATATCTGGAGGAAGTGAATAGAACTCCACTGTGCTAATGAAAAACAGAATTAAAGACTTCAGTCTTTTTTCTGTTTTAATTGCTTCGCATGCTCCAGAATGTGTTGTGCTGCCCTTGCAGAGGAATTAAAGAACAAAAACTGTTCCTTGATCTACATTGATATTGATGCAGCAGCCAGAGGGAGAAATGTTCGGCAAGCACAATGTTTGTTAAGTGGCAATTTCCAGCTCACGAAGGGTCAAACTCCCAAAGTTCTGGACTAGAGCCTGCCTTTCCCTGGAGCTATGGTGAACAGATGTATTCAGTTCTGCATTCTGGTTTGGACCTGTCTCCATTGCAAATCAGTTGCTTTACAGATTTCACTGTCAGCAGGTTAGTGGAGAAAACAACAGCAGGATTTGACTAAAGAGAAAGAACCGTTGGGTCAGCAGGAAAAAAAAAAGATTCTCAAGTCTGTAAGAAGGTATAATATCTTGGGAACTAGAAATGATACAGAACCACTTAACAGAAAGTGTGCAGATCAGCTTAAATACAGACCACAATTTCTCCCACCCTAACATTCACTTCTCTCCCCTGCCAAGGAGAATGTAGCACAGAAAGGAAATTGAGGGGGCTCAGCCTTTATGGCAGAGGTTTGTTTAAAACAAAATCGCAGTGGGAGGGGATCCATTAGGACTGAGGTCTCCTGGCAGGGGACAGAACACTCTGCAGTTACTTTTTGTTTGAGACTTGCTTAAGAAATTTATTTAACATGTTCTTAAAAGTTTAAATAGTCATTATTAACACCCCCAGTACAAGCTGACATTTGGCCCTTGAGCAGCTGCACAGCATGGGTGACTGGCTAAGAACGAGCAACCTGCAAAACGGAAAATTGTATTGTTGGGCTGGGGAGAGCAAGCATGGCTGGAGTGAATTCAAGCCAGGGCTGGTGTTACCTCAAGTTTGCTCATAGTTCATCCCTAATGAAAGAATAAGTATAAAAAGCTTTCAATCAGTACCGTTTGATTCCTACCAGCATTTCTAGGCAGCCACACAATAAGATCTAATTTTGTAAGGGAAGGAAAAGCAGGACGCCACTCGTGTTTGTACAGCTTGTTTAAAATGTGACACCTATTTACTGGTGCATTATTTCCTACTACTCCCAAAGGATGGGTTTAATATTTTCTTGGTGAGGAAATTTTCTGCATCGCAAACACAGATCATGGAAAAGTAATATTCCTTTGTGACAGCAATGAGGTGAAGTCATGAATAATTTAAGGTTTTATGCTTTGGCCTCACCATCCCTTAGAAAGCAGAGTGTCTACTGTTTAGGCAGACAATTTGAAAATATGTTTTATTGCTGTGACTCTGGCAACTGAAGGAGGGAGAAGAGAAAGGAAGAGGAGGAAGGGGTGGAGGAAGTCACACCTTACTGCCTGCTATGTTGTTCTCACTGGAGGGTCACACAGATCGCTGGGGCCATTTCTCCAGGGACTGTGGGAGGTCAGGAGGGTTCCTGTGGCAGAGGGGGCCACTTGTTCTCTCTAAGTTGCTGTGGAGAGTGGTGGATGGAGCCTTGAGATTTCCCGTTTGCTTAAGACCTAAAATATACTTGGCAGGAGGGGATGGTGTCTCAATCACAATTTCCAAAATTCTTTTTTTAAAGCTGCTTCTCTGAAGTGGTGTGAGCCCACCTGAAACACTGTGAAAAGAGATTGTTCTGGCCTGTCGTTAAACACTTAGGAAAGAGTAACTAAGCCTCACTTCTATGCAAAGTTGCAGAAACCAGTTACTGTCTTTTTTGAGGGGGACTACGTGTCCACATGTAAATATATTGGCCTTAGTCTGGGCCCCAATTATACTCCTACTTAATACTGTGAATTCAGAGCAATACACTGATCATTTCTAAGACTTGATTTCAGTTTCATGACAGGAACCTCTGTCTCCCCTGAGCCTACAGCCTAATCACTACTTTAACTGCTAATAGTTAAAATAAGTTAAAAGATAGCTAGCACTGCACCATTTTTAGTAGACAATTGCTTAGCATTCTTTGGTTAATCCTTATTTTACCACCTCACTTATTTAATAAATCTAACAAACAGCCTGACTTTTGGGAGAAAGGATTTTTTCTTTAAAAAGTCTTCATAATTTTGGCCAGTGAAAAACAGAAAATACATCCACAAAATACAAAGAATCTAAATCCCCATATAAAGCATGGGGGTACCTGTGGAACAGATGCCCAGAGAAGCTGGGAGAACAGATTCCTAGTATGTCAAGTAAAGTACCTGAATTATTTTTATTGATTTTTCTACTAGGAGCATTTGAAAATATCTACTGACCTCAGGCCAAAATGGAAACTCTTAAACAGGCATATAAATGTCATTTTTGGATGATGTAAATGCCATATTTTGGAAAGACAAAACAAAGATGCCCAAATAGAGCAATTATTTAGATTGCTGATTTTGTATTTGACGTGGTTGCGAAAGGTCACTTGTCTCTGGCTGAAGCAAATAGAGACCTGGGATGATCTCATCAGCTGTAAAGCACAGTGAGGTCAGGTCTAGTTCATCTATGGAAAGAAGACTTCAAAAGAAGAAAACCTCTTGAGCTGAATTAATGTGATGACTTTCTTTCATCTGAGTCATTACTGATCAGTTGTTGCAGCATGCTGTTGAGAGCACTGCACTGTGGTGGGTGGGAGCTGCTGCACAAACAAGCCATAGCGACCAGCATTTTTGGCCACGTGCATTGCTAACAGACAGGGTCTTAGCACACTGGCCTGGTTCACTTGCAGCCAAAGTAATCGCAAGCTCTCAGCTTATATTAGAGCAAAACGTGTAAGTGGACGTGGTTTCTTGCATCTCCTACTCCTACCTCATGGTGCCTTGTTGTTGTGCACTATTTAACTACTACGGTCATGCTGTACTTGGGGATGTGTTCCCTGAACGTTTAGTCTGCAGACATGTTAATGATGCAGGCACTGATTAAACAGGAGAGTTTATATCTATAGCAGTATCACAGCATGGCAATTTTAATTAGAGGGAATTTATTGTGACTGTTCTGTCCATGTGTGTAGAGTGGTCACTTCAGGGCAGTTAGGGTTGTTGCATCTCATAAGGATGCGGACAGGGCTCTCAGGTAGCAAGTGTTGTTGATGTGACTCAAGTCTCACATGCATTGGCCAATGGGTCACTGTGGCTGGAGTGCAGACTGCCTCCTGGGGAGAATAAATCGCTGTGCTGAGCAGCTCTGTGGTGTCCCAGGCTCCCAATGTCTGCATGTTCCCCACCTGAACACTGCCTGAACCAGACATTGTTTTCCGTTCTCCAGAGTCAGGTAGCCAAGTAAAAATCTTGTTTTATTTGCAGACTTTTCGAGACCCTCCAGTCACTCTTCTGGTCTGTGTTCGGTCTGCTGAATCTCTATGTCACCAACGTGAAAGCCAGACATGAGTTCACAGAATTTGTTGGGGCCACTATGTTTGGGACCTACAACGTCATCTCCCTTGTTGTGCTGCTGAACATGCTCATAGCCATGATGAACAACTCCTACCAGCTCATTGCCGTAAGTTATCTCATTCTCTCTCTTCTTGCTTTTATTTTTCTCCGTGTGCCTCATCTGTTTGGCTTATAGCAAGTGTGTATCTTCTGGGATGCTAGAGACTGCTGCCCCCAGTTTTTGACAGCAGATAGTTGGGATTTCTACTCACTAGCCTGAATCATGCTTGCGGAGGAGTTTTTGCTCTGTTTGTAATGCTTCTTAGCTGGAAAAGGCTTATCAGCTGTGATCTGCCCTTGTCTTCCTCTGTAGAGTAACCTCACTAATCACATTGTCATTAGCAGCTGATTTACTTTGTAGCAGAGAGGGCATATAAAGGGAAGCCTTCCCACTGCTTCCTGATGTTTGGTTTTAATTTGGGGGGGGTGGCAGTGGTGTTTTATATTTTTTTTTTCTTCTCCCCTATTACTATTTTCTCATTTGAAACAGTGTGTGTCAGGAGCCCAGTCCTGTAATTTCTTATTCCACAGTCTTCCCACTGAAATGAGATAATTTCCATCTGTAACACCAGGCCGTCTCCTGGCAGCTGACTGTAGACCCATAATCTTAGATTCCTAATTTAACCTCAGTGCAGAACGGATCTGAGCTGAGGCAGCTCAGGGCTGCCAGTTGGCTGTAGAGCCAGTTTCAAACTTAACTTTACCTTCATTTGAATGTTCAAAACTGGTCTCTCTACTGTAATCTCATTCTGTGTACCTAAAAGCTAATCTGTACATTGATGATTAAATTTGCCAACAGATTGAAAACTAAAGCAGCGTGCTCTGCATTTTAAGGTTCTTCAGGTAAACTACACAGAAACAGTATGGAAAGAAGCTAAATCTTGTGTGCACAGTACTTAAGATAAACCAGTGGGCACTTGCTTTCCAGTGTGATAGGTTTAGAGATAGTGAGGTGATGAAGTGTTACATCATCTGTGAACAGAAACAGGAGTTAGGAAAGTCATTTGTGTCCTCAGCTGGTCACTCAGAAGTACAGGCAGAGCACAGACTTCCTTCTCTGCTTTGGATGACTCTTGGATTTATTCTAGAAGATAGAGGATAAAACAGAGAAAAAAAGAACCAGCACCAGCTCCCCTACTGTATCCATTCCCAACTTCCTGGACAAATCTCTGGGGAAATGTATGGGTGAGCTCCTTTCCTGGCTAAAGCACACAGAGGAAAGTATCGAGTTGTCTGCTTGAACAGGTTCCACAGCTGCTGTTGATCATCTGCTGATTGAAGTGGCTCCTAAATTTAGTTATCTAGTCAAACTGAGCACAGACCCAATCAAATCGGTGATACTTTTGGACATCTGATCTTTATCACGTTAAAAAGTATGAGAAAAACTGGACCATTGACCTTCCAAATGAGCAGAAAAGCAGCTTATCACAAAGGCATCTCTGCTTTATCTGTCTGTTTCAATGCTTTAAGTGCTTTCTCTTTGTTTAGTGCTACTCCTCACATTCCAGCGAGACTGGAATGAGGGGCAGAAAACAAAGATATGCTCCTTGGCCATTTTCTCCCATTCCCCTTCCTTTGTTGTCATCAAATAGGCTTGTCACTGACACAAAGCCCAAACCTAAGATTGGCATAAGAATAGCAGTATTTGCTATTCACTGGGATACAAACCACTCATCATTCTTTTCCCTGAATAATTTGAGTGATGCAATGACACATTACAAACAATCCCGCATGACTTAGAGAAACCCATCATAACAATTAACTGAAGTGAATGGTCCAGAGTGGACTGCTGTATTAATGTTTTGTATATGGAGCAGTTGGGAACAGTGAATTGCTCCATCAGAAAATGTGCTTGTGAGAGACCTGAGGGTAAAGGACTGAACTCACCAGTTAACCTAGGCATAACAGCGTGAGCCCCCTACTCAGAAGAATGACAGTGAAAATGCTACAGGATACTTCTTTGTCATTTAAGCTGTCATATTGCAATTGCTACTGAGAGCAGTGACATTTCTTGGGAAGGCAAGAGGCAGTCACTTCCAGCCTCTTCTTGTACAGTGCATGCAGCTTGTTTTTTGAAGCTACTATTTCTGCATGCTCACAGCATTCTCTCAGAGATAAGTTTTCTTCATGTGTCTTCTAAGGGCAAACATCAATTAATCTTTTCCCTGAAGAAAACAACTCATTAATAAATGTTGAGCTTTACAACTGTGGGTCATTTTTTAACCTCCTATAATCAGGTCTACCCCTTTCCGAATCACAGTAGACTGGTTGCTAGACTGAGCATTTCTACCTCCTGGTGTTTATATTACATTGAATACACACGGAATGACAGCATTCCAGGGAGGGAGGAGGGGAAAGGACCAAGAAGCCCTTGGAGTGGGGTGGAGGTCTTCTCCTCAAACACATCAGTAGGAAATCTTGTGCCATGTGCAGGACTCTGCAGAGAAATAAAATGAGCTAGACGTCAGGGATGAGAGTGCATCTCTGCTTGTCGATTTCCCTGCAGTGGAGTGGTCAGGACATCTTAATTAATTCCACTTGTTAATGAGCCGGTGGCATTGCTGCAATGCAAACAGTCTTTCTCCCTTCCTTTTTTTCGGGGACAAATACGTTAATGCATTTGTAGTGGTTACTCTTCAGGTTAGTTTTTCTCCATTGTCTCATATATATGTGAATTTCTGCTGTGAGGTTAGAGAAAGGAGAATCTAAGCTGCTCTTTCTTTGCTCTTCATTGTGTCTCCCGAGTATGGGGGTTAGGGCTTGGTAGTTAATTAAGCACTGTAGGCACACAGCATGAAACCACAGAGTATCTGTGGAAGACAGAGCAAGGCAAGCAAAGAGTAAAACCTCCACACAGCTTTGAGTGATTTCTGACTCACAGAAGGAAGAATTCTTCTGCCGTAATTTTGTTGGTTTTTTTACTAAGCTATTTCAGACTTCAATAAATACATTTTTCTAGGGCTACCCTGAAGCAGTTTCAATATTGATTTTTTTCATACAGCCCATTTTTCTCTTTTGCCAAACCATTGTCAAGAGCTGGTTATGGGAGACACTATGTTTCACTGACAAAGCAAACAAAATCCAAATGCACACAATTTCCATACGCTTTGCGCCATTTCAATATGTGAAGGTCAGAATGTTCTATACAAGCAGCACAGAATGCAGCTGGATGTTATGCACTGCCGGGTCTCTCATCTCAATACCTTCCCAGACGTGACAGAAATACCATCACCTGATGAATAGAAGAGGAATATGTCACGATGACACGAGGAAGGACAATGGAACTTATCTGAGAGTAGCCAGATGGGTCCATCATTCGTAAGTGGCACAAAGTAACAGAGTGGGTAATGAGGACACTTTATGTCATAGGCTGTTTCTCACAGAATTGCCACTTGGCTGCATCTGAAGTTATACAATCCTTCTGCCAGTTTGTAATTTCTTCAAAACAGTGTGATAGTGCGTGTTACTGGGGGTCCTAGGTGCAGGTACATTTTACAGGGAATTAGCAATCACGCGTGTTTTCTGAAAGCATGTTCCTTATGGACACATCCGTGATATTCTGGGAAGTCATGCAGGAATTAGTCACTGGAACTGTACCAACAGTTCTGACGCTGACGCTGCAGGAGCAATGGGAAGCAAGATCAATGCAAGAACGGCAACTAAGACCCGTTTGCAGGAGGAAAACCGTAGAGCTGTGAACTCATAATCCGAGTTCCAGGTGAGTTAGAGCGATAAGTGGCACGCGACAGCACTGCAGCAGTAGGCATCCCACTGACGTATTAAGGAGAGATGTAAGCACTTGCAGCTTTCAGATGTTTTAGGAAAGTACAACAATGCTTAATACCTCAGGGATAGCGTCACACCAACATAGGTCTGAGAAAAATTAACTACTGTGCATTAAAGTGAAGGTGTTACAGTTTCAAGTGCGTAATACATGGTGTACCGGTGATGTTGGAATGACCTCACTAGCAGTATGTATTAAGTTACGAAATTTTTGTTTTGTATATTGTATTTCATATCCTTCTGTTGGTTTGTATGTCTATTATTTCAACTTAGTTCGTCTCAGACAGCTGTTACTGCAAAAGACAGCTGCATGTTTAATTTTTTTTAAGTGTATCTCTGGGAGTAGAGTGTATGACCAAATTGAAACAGAGTTGCCAGTGTTCGGATTGGAGAAATTAGGCCATTGGACACCAAACTAGGAGTGCAGTTTTAAATGATGGAATAAAATTGGGTGGATTAGCGCATACTATGGAGGACGAGAATGAAAATGATAACTATTTTGCATAGCAAAACAAAAGCTGTACAGTAAACAGAAACAGTTGGTATGTGCAGCTAAAAATAAGTGACCACTTTCAGAAAATTTTGACTTTAAGTGTGGGGATGTTGCACATGGAATTTTCTCCATTTTTGCGGAGAGCTTAAAAATTAAAGCACAGAGGAGTATAAGGATCTTTCAGCTCCCTATTACATTGTTTCCAAGATGACTTTGGATTTCCCCCAGGAAGTAGTATCAAACTTTTCTTGATCTACAAAGAACAATAATTCCTCTAGTTTGCTGTGCCAGTTGAACTCCCTCAGCACCATGGCAGTAATTGCTACCCAGTTTAATTCACAACAGCAGCAGAAATTCTCTTCTCCACTGTGATCTATGACCCTTAGAACTGTCAAAAAAATTTTGCACTTCCTCTGCTTGCATGACCTGCACAGTTATTACTTGGTGGTTTTGCTGAGGAAGAATTTTACGCATCAATAAACTTAGTTCAAGACACACAGCTGGACAGTCCCTGCATGTGGCAGGTTTTGGGGTGGTAGATTGTCCCCCTGTAGAGGGAAGGCTAGCTCCAAAGCCGGGACTCAAATCTAAGCTACTGTAAAGCATCAGGAAGTGTTCATCTCACAAGCCCCATTTCAGAACCATTAATTTGAATTTCTGAGGAGAAATTGCGATGTGTTTGTTTTTTTAACTCTGTCATACAGCAGGAAATTAAATTATACTCTTGTTATACTCTTGTTGCCAATATGATCTGGGATTAATGTCTCTTGAAGCTTTTTATGGTGTAGCAA